TTTTGGACGCTCGTGACTGTACTAATGAACAAAACATCTCGGGCTATTTTACGGCCGGTCTCCAAATTCAATGATCAAAGAATATCTCCCAAACAAATGAACGCAGCTCGATGAAAATTGGTACCCTAATGAATTTAGGGTATAACGTATAACGGTACGTCTCGTACAAATGGCCGGACTCGGGCCGGCCTCAAGGCCATTTTTAGCGCATTTTTTCATTCATGGAAAAAATGCAGTATTGTGCGCGCCATGTCCGTCCGTCCGTCTGTCCGACCGTGATTTCACTTTTCGTCGGCGAGAAAATGCGCTCTATGTCACTCACTGCCGTGAGTACTGAGTTATATTTTTTTTTATTTCGCGTAATTCGGGAGTTATATGGCGATACGGATTGAAATTCACAGTGATCAAGGAATTTCTTCCAAACTACTGAACATATTTGAACGAAATTTTGAATATACATTCCTAACTACCAAATGGTGATGTTTAGCTCATGAAAATTGTTTCAATTTTTCCTTCCGCTACGAGATTTTTTTTTTCATTTCCCCTTCATTTGTGATTTAAACAGCAATACGTGATTAAATTCTCAGTAATCAATAAATGTATTCTAAATCAATGAACAGATTTGAATGGAACTTTGCAGTGAGTTGTACTGTACATAAATATTCTCCCAACGTTGATGTTTACGTAGCTTGTGACAATTTTTTTTATTTTATCTTCGTATGCGAGTTATACGGCTCGTGCCATGGTCAATGCACATTAAATAATATGCATTTAAAAATTACTTTTTAAAGACAACACTTCTTAAGCATCCAGTGTCTCTGGTGTTACACATGTACAATGAATTTCTAATTTTATTATGAAATATTAAGAAAATTAATTTTTTAATTTTATTAAAAAAATTAAATTGTTAAAAATTATTTATTCTGTCAATTTATAAATGCATTGTCTCCAACTTTACGCAAATAACAATATGCAAAATTTCAGATCGATTGGACAGGTAGAAGTGTGTTAAATATTGTTTATAAGTTATGGAGCAGACAAATTTTTTTTTTCATTTTTTAATATCAAACATAAAATTTTTTATATTTCCAAAATTATTTATTCTCTCAATTGATTCAGGCATTGTCTCCAACTTTACGCAAGTGTGTAAAATTTCAGATCTATTGGAGAGGTAGAAGTGGGTTAAATATCGATAAGATTTGTAGCAGACAGACAAACAAGAAGTGAAGTTGAAGAGAAGTGTTGTAAAAATTGGCCTCAGAAATGACAGTCGTTTCTCCGTATATCCATTTACCGTACGGATATACGGTCCGGTTAAGGTTGGGTGTTATATTCAACCAGGTCTATATCATTCATCGCTCGAGTGGATAGAATCAGAGTTATAAATGGATGTATTATCCATAAATGACCTTTCAGCAATGGAAGGGTCGTATTATTCATACCCGATTTTTTACCCGATCCGGCCCGGTCGTATTGTTGTTCCATGATAAGGCACTTTCAGTAGACGGCTGCTGTCGCAGGAGCTTTTCACGCGTCAAATGCTACTAGAAGATTAACACAAACTTTTGCATTCATGATATTACGCAGGTACAATGCTTCACTATGTGTAAATATAAGCCACTACATAATTAACTAAAGTAAAAAATTCTGTTCAAAATGTATCGAAAAGAACTGCGCTGCAACTTTTCCACGCGACAAAATTTCTTCTCGCTTCGAATCACCGACATGTGGAACAGCCTCCCCGATGACATCGTTGGCGCTCCAAGTATGAACGCGTTCAAGAACAGACTAGAGAAAGCTATGGAAAAATATATGTTCAGATTTGAAATGCCTAGCTCCTCATCGAACCCGGTGGAAGTCTAGTAGCTACTTCAAACTATCGCCAGTCATGAAAAGATCCGGTCAAATGACACGAGTTTAGATCTTCTGTGAACAAGGCACGAAAAGGAAAAGAATCGGCGACAGGCCACATATCAGGCCTACACTTCAGCGCCGACATCATCACTATGTTTATTATTGTTACTTTCCAACGACTTTCCAGCTCCATACAAACTGAAAACTACGTACCATCAGTATTCCCTTCGCGTATCATCAGGTACCAGCCATGTATTTTATTTCTATCATTTCATTGCAAATATTCATTATTTGCATTTTATTCTACTTCAGACGCTAATAAGTTGTTAATGGTATTGGCTGCCATGTCTACCTGAGTTGGTAAGAAGTGCAGACAAGCGTGTATTGTAAAGAGTTGTATTGTACGTAGAATACTTCAATAAGTGCATCTGTCATTTTGTGCAACATTATTTTAGTAATTCAGAAGGTCGTTCAGCTGACGAGCCGATGGGTCTTCGACGCGATCTAGTCAAAAGTTCAAATCGCCGGTGATAAGGACATGATCGAGCAAAGTCACAAGTCTGGTTAAGACATCGCTAAATTCGACGAAAAAATTGCGCGACACAGCAACCGATCCAGGACGGAAGATGGTAACTGCAATGCCCGTAAACGAGGCACAGATGACCCTAGCACATAGCAGCTCAAAAGTGGTGTGTAAGGCGCCGATGCCAAGAATGGTAAGGTGCACGCCCCAACTGGCGACGGTAGCTACTCCTCCGTAATTCGTCGCCAGGGTGTCGGATTGCATGCGACGCCGCGCGCTCTCGACTAATTCGAGTCCTTCAGCGCGAAGAAGCGCGATGCAAACCGAGTCGGCGTCGTGCATCGTCAGCGTCAGACACTCATGACTTTCTAGATGCAGAAGCAATGAAGCTATAATTTGTTGCTGTTGTGCGCTCGAACCTAGAGTTTGGAAATGCCATGTGGTCACCGAAACTTGAAAATAATAAAAATTTAGTAGAAAGCGTTCAGAAAACAGCAACAAGGATAATTCCAGGCTTGAAGGGCAAGACCTGTGAAGAAAAATTAATGATTATGAAGCTTACAAGCCTCTGTCTGCGTGGTGACCTCACTGAAGTATACTTTTGGTATACTTGAATACTACTTCACGTTCACGAAAAGTACAAGAATCAGCGACAGGCCACATCAGACCTATTCATCAGCGCCGACATCCCTGTGATACGACACGATTTGATAATTCAACCTGACTGAAGTGAACTGTAGTTTATTTATATGTATTAACAACACTTCTCTTTAACTTCTTTTTTTTCTGTCTGTCTGCTACAAATCTTGTAATCGAAATTTAATACACTCCTACTTATCCTATCGATCTGAAATTTTGCACACATGCGTAAAGTTAGAGACAATGCATGAATCAAATTACAAATAAATAATTTTAGCAATAAACAATTTTTTTCCCAATATTAAAAAAATTTAAAAAATAATTTTGTCAGCTACAAATCTTATAATTGATATTTGACACACTTTTACCTGTCCAATTGATCTGAAATTTTGCACACTTGTGTGAAATCGAAGGCAATGCATGAATCAATTGATAGTATAAATAATTTTGAAAACAAATTTGATATATTAAAAAATTGAAGAATTAATTTTTTCATTACTCGAAAAATAAATGAAAAATTCATTGTACATCTTTAGCATTGGAGATACTGGATTCTTTAGAAGTTTTGTCTTTAAAAAGTAATTTTAAACGTATATTATTTTATTTAAACATCTTCAATTTATGCGTTGGTTGATTAATAGTTATCACAGCTTTGCGTGGGTTAGAAACTATGTTTTTTCCTTAATTTTTCAATTTAATGAAAAAAAATTTATGTTTAGAAATTGTGTATTGCAAACCGAGTTGAGAAAGCGGTGCAATTCTTATATGCATTGTTTTGAGCCTTCGTGTCAAAGTTAAGAATAACTCTGTTCTGAGGTTGACAGGCAAAACCTTGAATGGATCTGTCTGATCTACTAATTAGACGTAGATAGACCTGAGGGGTTTTGGTTCATTTATAATTTGTCCGAATAACAGATTAAATACTCATCGGCCAGGGAAGGATAAATAACAAGTCGTGTATCTAAGCTAGCACAGTATGTGCAGTAGATTGGGAGATAGAGTTAACGACACTACATATTGGTCTGAGTGCCGGAGTCTGCATGACTGCAGCTGAAGGCTGTCTGCCTAAGACTGAGACTCTGCTGGGAGTCTCAGTCTTAGGTTAACGTGGTTAACGCTCGCATACAGATTGCCATTTAAATGGGTTTCAAAAATGTCATACGGTTCGAATAAAAATGAAAAAATAACAACAAGGCTCTCCACAGCGCATGGTAAGCAAACTGTTTCCGATGAAGTCAATTCGGCTCTAACTCTAGAGGCGTATCAATTTTTCTAAAACTTGTCGTTTGACGCGCTAAATGAGAACGAGGTGAAAAAATGTCGACAAAGCACCGCGCATTGTGAATAAAAATAAAGTCAATGGTTTGATAATTAATTTCATATTGATTATGATGTCAAATTTATATGACGATTGCTAAATACGTGCCCGATAGAATTTCGGCTCAAAATTCATGTAGTAAAAATTGTCAGAGGGGCGGCTAGTGACCTCGTTTGGAAGTCGCACAAAGTATTCTCGTCGTTACTAGACTACAACTTCTCAAAATCGTTTTGGAAAATCGAGAAAAATACTGAGACATGCAGACAATGGTCCAGAATAAAACTATTTACATAAAAATTATTGTTTCCCGGTTCTAGTGAAACTTTACTGGGCCGCAAGATATAAACGAGAGGTAACCTAACGACAAGAGGCATTCTCTTGTGGTATTTTTATATTATTAAGGTTTCTGAGCAGTGCGATTTCAAATAATGTCGATGAAAAATAAAATTTTTATCCGGTTTTGTCAGGCATCGAATTTTACTCATGTTTGGTACTAGCAAAGCGCGAATAAATTTGTATCGTAGCCGTCTTCATTTTCAGCCAATTTGCGGCTGTTGGTTGTTCATAAAGCCAGTTACTGGCCGCTCACCGGACAATTCTTTTAGGATGAGTACATTGGAAGTGTTTTTAATTCATTGGTGCATGTTGTAGGAGCAATAAGAACGAAAACAATCTCAAATTTATAATTTTGTCATCTTAAATTTGACAATTTAGATTAACAGTGGAGAAAAATCCACTTTCAAGTAGGAATTCATTATGATAGTACGAGTTAGAACTTAAGACTACTGAGATATGTGAACAAGCGACTAAAATTTTCTTACACGGGATATCATAAAAGGTAGGATAAACAATAGAAAACAATTAGTGGGAGAAGTAACTTGGTAAGGAGAGCTGGGGAAAATTTGTTAATAAAACCTAGCTGCAAAACTGAGTCTCAATGCGGCATCATTGCATAGGAACAAAATTGTATTGGTATGCCCTTTTATCACAATTCAAATTCCATTAATAAGTGTCTGTTGATTAAAAAGTGTAAATTGTAAGCTGTAAAATGATTGGCCAATATAATTAATTAAATTTGAAATCAGGTTGATAATGAAGCAAAATTAGAACACTAACATCCAGCATAGCTTGTCCCACAGCAGTTGCCTTTAAGGATGAGCAGTTTTATTATAAACTCCCACTTAAATAGAGTATAATGTCATATTCTCATCCGACTGCAGAGAAAATTTTTTTGCTTCCATCATTTCCCCAAGAAACTCCCATGTTAATTTTATATATAGACATGAATGTCCTCCTTGTAATACAGAGCAACAGTGACTCAATTCAAAATAGAGCAGCTTGACGGCAAACTGCTATGAACAGGGCACAACAACAGCAGGTATTATTGAAATAGGATGGGAAAAATCACCCAGATAAGATTATTAAGTAGAGAAGTCAAGGATAATAAACACCCTCACATAATATCGAAGTATTAAACACAACTCTGAATATTAAAAGGGTGCTTTAATTCATCAATTTGGCTTCAAAGATTAGCTGCTCTCAAACAAACAACTGTGTAATTGGGCTTGCTCATTTTCACTTTTTAGTAAGATTTTTACAAAATTTTAATAATTTGCCTCTCCCCTTTTACCAAACTAGGAAAAACTCAGTGACCAAATCAACAAAATGAAGAATATATTTTTTACAATTATTCAAAATTTTATCATAAAAAATAATGAATAATTATAACACATTTGCAGAAAAGAAACCTCAATTCTATTTTCAAAAGTAGAATATCTATGATTGTCAAATCACTATTATTTATGAGGTGTTATAATGCATGCAACAACTTCCTTTAAATGCACACAGAAGGATTTCATGAAACAAATAATAAAAATCTGAACTCTAGTGCAGCTGATCCTAGAATATATTATTTTCTAGAACTAGGACTAGAGATGTCAGTTATTAATACCCATCATTAGAAAATGTTATACTCTCATAATCTGGATATTTCTTCTTAAGAATTTCCACAGTTAGAGCATGGTCAGCCAGTCCATAGCCTTGAGAGTAGCCATACACCTTAATGGTCTTCTCATCAAGAGAGTGCTTAATTCTACCGCCTCCCACACACTCGCAGTCCATGCCAGCTGTCTTCTCTATTGCAGGCGCTACCTTCTCATAGATGTTGGCATGGAAGTCAGCCCAGGTGTACCTGGCAACAAAGCATTCATTAGGCACTTTGTGTTCTCCAAGCTCGCTGTCTGGAGTCCCTCATACCATGCCTTCATGTGTATACAACTGACCAACAAATCACTTGGTCCTTTTAATACAACACATTTTTCCATGCTCAAATATTTGTGATAATTTTTTTAATGCATCCATTCATTCCAATGATGTGTGCATATTGAACATAAAAAATCTAACTAAGTGTAAAATGTTATGATTCTCATTATCTGAACATTGGACTTTAATACATTTTATTTTATTTGTCTACAGCCCTAGGGTGCAGCTTCTACAGCAAGTTTGTTGCCAGGCTTGAAAACGACCAAACTACCAATTTCTTTTCAAACAGTACCTGGAGTAACAGATAAGTATGTAAGTACTATTTTCCATTGATATTTAATTCTGTTACTAACAAAGAAATGAATATTTTTAGAAACATGTTTTCATTGTAATTTCTATTTTAAAATTAAAAAAGTTTAGATAAACGATAATTACAAGAATGTGGAAATTTCATCCATTAAACATGATACAATTGACAGCTACAGTAATGTTGTGATGCTTAAAACATTTTGTAGGATATAAGGCCATTTAATTGAGAAGTTTAAAAAATGTATTATGCTGGAATAAAACTATTAACTTAAATTTTTTTTACAATTTTACAGCAAAATTAGATTAAGCAATTGAAATGCTGTTCAAGGATTGGCAACTTAGCCAAGATTTTGTTTAACATGAAGAAGCATGACAGGCTTGACTATCACCACATAAAGTTTGCTGTGAATGTAAAAAACAAGAACATCTATGCATATCAAAATGTATATAAATCTGGAAAAGCAATATAGGAAACATAGCCCATTTCTCAAAGATTTTATACAATCACTATTTGAGGCAGGATTTCTATACATTCTATCATAGAGATTTTTGCAATTTTAAATGGAAAAATAGTCTATTATAAATGAACTTCCATTAAATACTCTAACTCAGCCTCACGTTCTACAAAAAATTTATATATACTCATCTAGAGTTCATTGTGATGACTCTCTTGTTTCTTACATTCACAACACATATACAGATGAATTAATAAAATACTTAAAAAAAACTTTTAAAAAAACCACGTTTTTCTTGTGGACTAAAAAGTAGAAAATAAATTATTGTTCGCCCCAAAAAAACCTGTGTCGGGCAGATTTATGATTAAAGCGAAAAGCACACAAGACTTAAATTTTGGAAATTTGATGGTGAACGTACAGCCCGACCCACGTTTTTTTGGGGCGAACAATAATTTATTTTCTACTTTTTAGTCCACAAGAAAAACGTGTTTTTTTTTAAAGTTTTTTTTAAGTATTTTATTTTCTACTTTTTAGTCCACAAGAAAAATGATTAAGACTTGATTAAGTATGACTTGACGTACGTATCGATGATACGCAGCGTTAGCGCCTGCTCGTCTATAACGTGAGCGCCCGCACGTCATACTATATATATATACTTTACTCAATTAAATTAATTTAGGTCTCTAATTACTAATTTTTATGATTGTATCTGAAATTGTTAAGCGAAAATAGCCTGCATGCCGAATTTCAGATCTCTGGAACAATCAGAAGTGGGCTAATTTTCGTTGTCAATGTTAACAACAAACAAACAAACAAACAAACAAACGCGAAGCTAAGCTAAGAAAAACGTGTTAAAATACCATGAAAAGAGCCATTGGAAAAGTCAATGAATCAGAAATACGTATGGTCTATTCTTTTAGATTACTCTTAATGAAATTAAATGATTCCATACTTTTTTAATCTTCTTGAATAAAGCTAAACTGGAAACTTCAAGGTCTACACAGTGTTCCTCAGAGCAGAACAATCAGAATACTACTGGATGCAATAATCAATTAATAAGTCAGAACAAAAAAGCAACAATGAATAATTTTCTATAAAACATTAGTGATTATATTGAATGACAATGAAGATATGCTTTCAATTGTTACCTTACCCTCTGACAATAAACTTAGAAGTTTCAGGTCCGCCCTCTGGTGAATAATGTACCTTGATGAGAATATATTTGAATGTGCCAGCATCAATTTCAGAATCAGATATATTATCTAATGGAGACTCCATTATCACTCACACCTGTAAGGAATACTAGTTTTGAAATATTGAAGGTTCAAAAATGAGAAAGTTGCATTATTACTTCCTTTTTATCATGGGACCTTTCACAACTTATTTTTGCTGAATCAACATCCTCCACATTTAATGGTACAGAGAAGTTTTTTGATGGTAGAATTACCAAAGTTTGTTAGAAATCAAACTTATTTAAGATCACCATTAGTTTGGCTTTGACACAGTCATTTCAATACCTAGGACTACCTATATACGTACAAGATAAATTCAATGCATGATTCCTGGTAAGCTACACTTACTGTGACAGTGAAAATTCAAGGATGACTCATATATATGTAAATATATTAGATATATATATATATAAACAAGTTTCGAACAATAGCCGGACAGGATTGGACAGGATTGGTAACATTACCGGACATGGGTTAGAAACCTGGACAAAATCGAGTTGGGTTATGTACCTTACAATAAGTTTGTACTTAAAAACCAGAAACAAAATAAATGAACTACACTACCGGACATTCTAAAAACACCAACCTTGTTAGGTTAGGGTTAGAGTTAGGGTAAGGGGTGTATAAAACCCTTCTTTACATTGCTTGACACCTTTCTAATAAGGTTAGCTCCAGCCAGTTTATGTTTTTTTTTTTTATTTTTTTTTACAATTTTACTTAGGTCATTGGGTCAAAAATAATCATAGTCCAGAAAAGTGCAATTAATATATATATATATTTTATATATATACCGTAAAGCGTAAAATGGGGTAACTTAGACCGGCGGGGTAACTTAGACCACTTAGACTTTTTTTAACAAAAACCCCCACAACTCAAAAACTATTTGACATAGAAAAATTTTGTCAATGGGCATTAAAGGCCTAATACTGAGGCCACATAACACAATAGAAAGATTTGAAAAGTTTGCATATCTAATAGAAAGGCAGGAGCCAGCAATTTATGGTGAGTGAAGCTAGAGTATAGACCTGTATTTTGCATGTTTCAATTCAAGTTTAATTTAGCTAGTAAAAAAATGGCATCATTTATAAAAAAAATGGTCTAAGTTACCCCATTTTATGGTATATATATTTATTGATTTATATGCATACAGTTAATGACCAGATGACCAGAGAATTTGTTGATTTAACCCTAATCGCCACGGGTTGTCATGTCACGCTACAACCTCGGGTGCAAATGATATCAGCCCTTAATTCTGTTAAGTATTTTTTATGTGTCTTCTATTTTACATACGCTATGATTATTTGATCAGGCATTAATATAGATTGTTTCCTATCAAATGCAGTCTTCAAATGCATAATTGTAAACTCAAATCCATTTTTAAAAATTATGAGAATGGAAGAACCAAATTTCTGGCCCCAAGCGGAGCCATTCCTGTGTACGACAACTCCGACCGCTCGAACTTGTGTCTATGTTACCCGTAGGGAGGAGACTGCACGTTATTCACATGTGTGTGTGCCTGAGAACATGTGCATATTTATCACTGGTGCATGTGCAGCTTCAACACTGGTGCACCAGCATCCTCATTGCTAGTTTCTCTCAAGGTTTCTTTGTTACTATAGTTTTTTGATTTCATTGTCTGCAAGTTCGTTGCCCGCCATTGAAAGAGCTGCATGAAATGAAACGCATTAGCAGGAAGCTCGAGTACCATCAACCTCCGTTGCTTGCTGGACACTGATATTGTGAGTCCGACAAGGGTGTAACTTGCTGCCGGCATGCAAGTCTGCTTACTGGGTAGCAAAAATTTATACATAATTTGCTAAATGATCTACCTCATCATTATAGATAATAATAGCTAAAATATTATAGACCCCACACCAAGAATAGATCTCAGTTGAAAAGTATCTCAGCAGACAAGGCTGTGAGATATATGGTTAATTTTTTATGGAGGTTATTAGAATATAAGGGCATTTTCCTGCAAACCCATGGCAATTGGGGTTAAATTATCAAAGAGTCAGACAATTCTTCAAAAGTTCAGATGATGGTAGATTAAAATGGCCAAATATTTGTTGAGACAAGCTCACAACCAGACCAGGTCTCGAAGTATTACAAAGAAGCAACTCCATCTCAAGATCAGTGATGAATTCAACAGGCTTCTAGACACTCTAAAAAATGTCAAAACCCGGAATATACGCAACAACGGTCCCTGCAAAGAAGCGAAAGTTCTGTAGGGGCCCGATGTATTCTATAAATTTTGCCTCAAAGAAGGTTGTAGACTTCTTCATTATTTGGATTATATTGGAGTCATTGGAGTGACAATTGTGACATTGATTAGCCATTTCTCCTACCACCTGAGACAATTGAACAACCAGACCAGGTCTCATTGTCTCAAAGCATTACAAACTTGACTTGACAAGTTAGACGCTTGAGGCCTTTCTCAGAGGCCTGTTCGTCTCTCTGAGACTATACTAACTTTTGTAATATTAGCAAAATTCGGGGGCAGCTGGGTTGCAAAAAAAGTTAGTGTCTAGTTCTGGCATGATGGAACACAGAGAGTAGGCAGATGAAGCCAATGTTTATCGAGGCAACTCTTGAAAGTATCCACAGATGGTGCTTTGACAACATTCTCTGGCAAGCTGTTCCAGTTTGTGACAATGCGCTGAGAGAAAAAGTTACCTCTAATGTTTAGTCTGAAGTGGCTCTTTTGGATTTTTAGAGAATTTCCTCAGAAGTCTCTTGCTGTAGCCATCACAAAACTTTGGCATGGGACATCATAGTAGCCATGTAGGTATTTATAAACCTCAATCATATCGGCCCTCAGCCGGCGGTGTTCCAAGCATGGTAACTTCAGCGTCTTGAGCCTATCTGAGTAGGGCTTGTCTTTTAGTGATGCCAAGAGTTTTGTTGCTCGCCTCTGGACGTCTTCTATATCACTACATAGAGTCTTGTGTGCTGGTTGCCACAAGCAGTGCCTGTACTCAAGAAGTGGGCGTACTAAGCTCTTAAACAGTTGAACGAATGTCTTTTTGGTTAGGTGATCAAAAGTTCTGTGAATGATGCTGATGACTTTGTTTGCCTTTGCTGAGCGACATGCTCCTTGAAGGATAGCTTATCGTCTATTATCACTCCCAGATCCCTCTCCACTTTACCCACCGCTAATTCCAGTCTCTCATCTTGTTTCTTCATATAGTAAGTGCCTTGGGACTTCTGCCTGCCATGTTTGATCAAACTACACTTCTCAGGATGAAATTTCAGTAGCCACCTATTTGACCATGCCTGCAGATAATCAAGGCCCCTTTGGAGGTTGTCAATGCCGTCTACTGTGTCTGTTCTTTCAAAGAGTTTCGTGTCGTCTGCAAACATTCTTATGTTGCTACGTACGCCATCTGGTAGATCGTTAATGAACATTACAAACAAAATTGGTCCCAACACAGACCCATGGGGAATCCCGCTCGTTACATCGGCTTCCTGTGATTTTGCTCCATTAACGATCACTGTCTGCTTTCTGTCTGACAAAAAGTTGTGAATCCAAGCATGTACGTTTCCTCTGATGCCCAATGCCGATACTTTTGCAAGCAATCTTTGATGAGGGAATCTATCGAATGCCTTTTGATAATCCATGTATATTACATCCACTGTTCCGCCCTCGTCAACAGTGCTTGACCAAATGTCCATGATGTCTAGTAGTTGGGTCATGCAGGAACGTCTAGGTACAAAACCATGCTGATGTTTGCTAAGTAGGTTATTCTGCTCCAAGTGTTTCAGGACCTGCTCCCTAACCAGCCTCTCCATTACTTTGCACAGGATGCATGTTAAACTTACAGGGCGGTAGTTGTTTGCTGCTGCTCTGCTTCCTTTCTTGAACACCGGAGTTACCGCTGCCTTCTTCCAATCTGCAGGAATCTGTCCTTTTTCTATCGAAAGTCTGAATAGGCATGACACTGGTTCTGCAAGTTCATCTGCTGCAGTCGCTAGTACGATAGGAGGGATTCCATCTGGTCCTGATGCCTTGCCAACATGGAGGCCAGCAAGCTGTTTTCTGACTTTATCCAAAGTAACTTCAAAGTTTAACAATTTTTTCTCAAACAAAGCCTCAGCTGGCTTGGGGATCGTGTCCCCAATTTCCTGCGTAAAAACGCTCCAAAAGAAATCATTTAGTAGATTGGCTTTTTCCTGGTCATTTTCTGTTTTTCTTCCGTCTTCCTTGATTAGGTTGGCTACTCCAATATGACTCTTGGTTTTGCATTTGACGTACTGCCAGAACGCCTTTGGGTTGGTGTTTGATTCAGCTGCAATTTTCTTTTCTAATTGCTTCTGTGCATTGCGACAGTCCTTTCTGGCCTTATTTCTTACTTTTTGTATGCTTGGTAATCTTGTCCGTCATGGGTTTCTTGCCATTGCCTGAAGAGTTTGTGCTTCTTCCTTACTATTGTGAGAGTGTCTTTGTCCATCCAAGTTTTGCCTTTTCTGCCAGATGTGTGCAACTTCGGAGTTGATGCTTCAATTGCCTCAGTTATTTTATTTTTGGTCCATGTTTTGTCCACCTCCAGGCCGCTTAGTTTGTCTTGCCAATTAATGCTGTTACCGTGTGTCTCTAGCGGGTGAGACAAACTCGTTGTCTGCTTATGAATTTAGAGGTAACTATCTAAGTGAAAGGATAATGAAACACTTTCTCTATAAAATTAATTAAGGGATCTTGTACAAAATCTATCAAAACACGAAACTCAAGTGCAAAACAACTCTATGGATATTAAGGACTAATAAAGTAATGTGTGGATTGCGAATGTGTAGTGGATTCTAAAAGTGTACTAGAAATTAGACTTAAGAGCATGGGCAGGCGGAGGTGGTTCGTGTGCCAGTTAACTGAAAAGCACAACTAAAATTAATTGACGGAAATTAAATTGGCAACACTCATGACAATGCTTTGGAACATGAGAAATATTTTAAGGTAATTTAACCACTCATGGCCATCATGCCAATCAAGACAATAAACATGCTTGAAGAGTTAATTAATGGAACAGAAAACGGAATCATAGTTAATGAAGGTTAAGACTCTGAACTTAATGACTGTAGATAATTACTGAACAAATAATATAACTTGACTAAAAATGTTAATGAATCATATCGGCACTTTAGAAAAAAACATCACAAACATGGGACAGAATAGTTGGTACAGACTAAATAAACACACAATACAATCACATAATAAAAATGCACATTCAGAAAAACCTTGCAATGACAACAGTTAAATTAAGAACCAAAAGCCTCTATTGAAAATTGTGAAAATTAAGCTTAAGTAAGCAAGACAGTGACGCTCAGACACTTAGCATCATCTTACCATTAGCCTGAAGGGATAACAACAG